ATATATATTTGAACAAGTTTGGCCTTTTAGTCCCTTTTTCAAATAAACAAAATATTTAGAAAGCGTAAATTCAGAGGGAAGAGAAACAGGCTCGGCCGGGATTTCCAAACCCGGGACCTGTCATACCCTTAGTGAGAATCAGTACCCCTATAGACCACCGAGCCGCAAATCAGAGCGATGAAATATAATTTTGATCAAGCTTGGTTTCGTAATCCTTTTTTAAATCTACAAAACATTTTATAAAGCGTAAATTAAGAGTTAAAAAGAAATCTGGGCTCGGCCGGGATTTGAACCCGGACCTTTTCGCACCCAAAGCGAGAATCATACCCCCAGACCACCGAGCCATAGGCACCCTTGGATAAAATATAAATTTTATCAAGTTTGGTTTCGGTAATCCTTTTAAATCTACAAACATTTATAAAGCGTAAATTAAGAGTTAAAAGAAATCTGGGTTCGGCCGGGATTTGAACCCGGGACCTTTCGCACAAAAGCGAATCATACCCCTCCCTAGGCCACCGAGCCGCAAATCTGAGCGATAAAATATAAATTTGATCAAGTTTGGTTTCTTGTAATCCTTTAAATCTACAAAATAATTTATAAAACGTAATTAAAAGTTAAAGAAATCTGGACTCGGCCGGGATTTGAACTCCTTGACATCTCGCACCCAAAGCGAGAATCATACCCCCTAGACCACCGAGCTAAATCAGTGGATAAAATATAAATTTGATCAAGTTTGGTTTCTTAATCCTTTTTAAATCTACAAAACGTTTATAAAGCGTAAATTAAGTGTTAAAAGAAAACTGGGCTCGGCCGGATTTGAACCCGGGACCTCTCGCACCCTAAGCGAGAATCATACCCCTAGCCCACCGAGCCGCAATCAGAGCTATAAAATATTTATTTTCACAAGTTTGGCTTCGTAATCCTTTTTAAATCTACAAAACATATGGAAAGCGTAAATTCAGATTGAAAAGAAACCTGGACGCGGCCGGGATTTGAAATCGGGACCTATGACACCCAAAGCGGAATCATACCCCCTAGACCACAAGAGCCGCAAATACTTATTTGAACAAGTTTGGACGTGCAAATCCTTTTTAAATCTTATACAAAACTTTTAGAAAGCGTAACTTCAGAGTGAAAAGAAACCTGGGCTCGGTCGGGATTTGAACGGGACCTCTCACTTGCAAAGCGAGAATCATGCCACCTAGACCACCGAGCCGCAAATCGGTGAGATAAAATATAAGTTTCATCAAATTTGGTTTCGTAATCCTTTTAAATCTACAAAACATTTAGAAAGCGCTAAATTCAGAGAAAAGAAACCTGTTTTGTTTTATTAGAGAATGTAAATATCACAAAAAAATTTGTAACTTATAATTCGTAACAGTTTGTAAAGAATAATAAAAGGAACATCTTTATGTAAAGAATAGTAAAGGAACATGTTATGTAAAGAACAGTAAGGGAACATCTTATTTATTTCAATCACAGAAATGTGTAAATATTTCACTATTCAGTCTGTGATACTGTTACAAATTTTTGAAATGTGATCTTAAAAACATAATGCATCAATCGTACTATCTTTAAACTGAACGTAATTTTATGCAAAATTGCTAGCTGACGAGAATGCTCTCTTCAAGCATCTACCCTAGTTGGTGGTACTGTTAGCAATGCGCCATATACTTTTTCCAAGTATTTACCTCTAAATCCCTCATCTACAAATAATCTATTTCTCGCCGGATTGTTTAGATTTCTGTATTGTATTTTTCGTTAGTTGAAATTTTTTAGCTATCGCCAATTCTAATTTTTGTTTAAGAGACAATTCCTCTTCACTATCGACATTAGTGTCACTCTGCTAATCTTCGATAACTGTACCGAATTCTTCTGAATGTGGATAGGTTTGTGGGTAAACAATTAAAAAAAAATTTACTACAAACTTTGAGCAAATTTTAAATAGGTTACTCTCTTTCTAGAATTCACAGATAAAGAATAAATATTTCATAGATAAGAATTCTAAATTTCTAGTAAATACTGAACAAACGGTATTTAAACTTGAAAATACTGGTATTTACAAAATTGTACAAATGGCTCAAAATACGGTATTGGTATCCCGGATACCGGTATTGCAATCCCAAGTTCCGTACTTTACTACGTTGAAGAAGAATCTATGGGTGCATTTCTGTGTTTTTGTTTTTCTCCGTCCATGAAATCCAAAAATGTTGAACTAATTATGATCAGAACATAAGCAATTTACAAAAATATAAAATCATGTAAAATAAAAATAAATGCAGGTCATGATTCTTCGGCCACGAAAATTGTCTTCCAGCAACTCAGCCTTGAAAACCTCCTTCTCTGTATGTATTTCGTACTGTGCATAGTGACATGTGTACTTCAGTGTTTTGAAACGGAACTACAGTTTGGAGAGCCCCAATCCTCAATATTTTGATTGACTAACGATGAGTCATTCCATCATAAGAGCGATGGACATTGAAAAAATCAAATCTTTTAATAATTTACTATATTTTAGAACAAGGTCTACCCATCAAAAATTGATGTTTTATTTAATGTTTCACCTTCATTATAAAGCGGTAAGGTTTTTCTTCTGGTAAAGTCTTCAAACCTGTCCACCCCATTTCTAAGTGTACATATACACAAAACAAGTAATATATATAACAAAAAAAAAAAAATTAAGTCAATTCCTACTTTTTTTTTCACTATAATGCAGAAAGTCATTTACAAATAATTTTCATTCCTTTTTTTTTAAGTTTATCTGGCGCCATCTATTGGTAGATATAGGCAACTTAAATCTAAAAGAACTAAAATTAATGAATGAATTTAATATTTGAAAGAAACTGTATTAACATCAGTGTGTCATCCACTACAAGTTCAAAAAAATGTATTTCAACTTGTGTGGATGAATAAAAAGTTGTTATAAACGATTGAAAATTTTAACAAGATATATATAGGGAGAGAGTGAGCTAATAGAAGGAATTGAAAAACATATTTTAATTTGAATTTTTACTTCAACATATAATCTGGAATGTGTCTAAAACTTATTGAATACTTTCATTCTTCTAACAACTTGAAATCCAGACAATAAATTTGGAATTTCAGTGTGTTCGAATACTTCTTACGCCTTCAAAGTTCTTTCGTTGTAATGAATATTTTCTTAAATTTTTAAATAAAAATGTGTAAATATTATAAAGATTTCAAGGCTGAGTTCGTTTTTACCTAGATACTTTCTGTGCACTGTAACTCTGTTTTGGCCTTGTTACCGCTCTTTTCTTCAATCACAACTTGAGTTTCAGAGATAACACGTTCCAGTATGGACATCACGTAAGAGAATCCATGGGCGACGGACGAAACCAATATAATCATGAAGCCTGATAAGACATTCATTTATTTAACACATATACATAAAGAAATAAATTTTTATATGCACATCCTGACCTCAGCATTTAATGAAAACAATAACCTACAGAATAACCTAAACTTAGTTAAACCTAATTAGTTATTAATAGTCCACTTGCCGTTTCTTTCTTATATCCAAGCTCATGGTTTTATATTTTTAACAGAAATAAAAAGAATCAAGTAAAACACAACAATTTACAACACATCAATTTATTAGATGTCGCATGAATTTTTAATTACGGTGTGTCCTTAAATATTTTGATAATTATTTTAAAAATTCCAAGATCAAATAATTTTTTAAACATATGATAATTTGTTCCAATGAATTGTGCCCCCGCTATTAAATAATTTAGTACACATTTTTCGTCATAAATCGGCCCTGTAATGGAAGTACTTTCTACAATCACTATATATATATATATGTATAGTGATTGTAGAATCAGGCCCATATATATATTTTTCTACTTTTTTTTACCTATATTGCAGAAAAGTCCTTTACAATAAAGTTGAAAATTTCCTCTTACAACTGGTGCCATCTATTATTAGATATAGGCAACTTAAATCTAAAAAAAAAAAAAAAACTAAAATTAATTAATTAAATTTAATTAATGAATTAATATTTGAAAGTAGGCTTGAATGGTCGAGTGGCTAGCACTCTGGCACTCGGTACCACAAGTTTCAGGTTCGAGTCCCGGCGGTGCTATGGATGTTTGAAGTGGTTCGGAATCCACTTTAAACCGAAAGTCCCGGTCCTAACAGGACCGTAGAGCGTTGTGGGGGCATTGTTACTCCGCGTCCATGGCTTATCTTCAAGTTACACGCTCCTGTGTAATGCAAAGTGAGTAAGATCTGTTGCAGCGCTTGCCTTAAGGCATCAAGACCAAGCTGTCTAAGTGTTTGCCAGTTGCATTAGAACAAATATATATATATATATATGTAGTAACAACAAATTAAAAGTTTAAAATAAACCTAAATGTGAAGAACCACATTTAATGACTTTTATAGTTGTCATACTTGAATGAACTTTAAGAAGGGATCGGATGTACCGAAAAGATTAGAATCATGTAGGAATACTGGGTTGAAATCATATAGAATGCTCGATTAAAAGAATGCCCATTTATAATCATATAGGATTACTAGGTTGAAATCATATAGAATGCTCGTTTAGAATCGTATAGAATGCTCATTTAGAATCATAGAGAATGCCCAATTTAAAAAAAAATTATCCTATTAACTTTAATTCAAATTGCATCCCAAATTGCATTGTACAATCTTATGGTGACAAATAGCGCAATATTTTTGTTTATTCAAAAGTAAAAAACTTAGCAGTGGATCAATTGGTTTGACCTTCTAAGTCGCATTAATATAAAAAAGAATTTTTTTACGAATTCTTTTAAACGAAGGTATTTCTAAATTAAAAGTAATTTTCGTGTTATTTGTCGATTCACACCTGAATAAATTTGTATTATATTTCTTTTCTTCAATCTCTAATGTAAAATTCTTTTCAGAAAAAAACTGCTTTTACCTTCAAGCTATTCTGCTACATTTTTATTTAAAAGCAGGAATGCAAACAAGGAATGATTCTAATTATTCTATATTTTTTGTTTCACATAGAAAAAAAAACCAGTAATGCTAAATTTGTCAAAAATCAGGAATTCGCTAAATTAATTATTTCAGATAAACGTTTTATCGAAGTCACTAAATTCGATGCTTTGAAAAAGAATTAATTACGTTCTGCGTTTATTTTAGGACATTCCAACCAGACTACTACATACTACATATATTTCATTACCCCGTGAGGTAACTAGAATTTATTCTTCTCAGAAAGGTTGCAAATATGGTACAGAATTAGATATAAATAACTCAACTTCATTAAATATTTTTGTATTTTTGGAACCTTTTTTCTGAAGAGATTGAATTTCTGTTTCAAATTTTCTAAAGGTTACGTTTGTTAAAAAGCCATAAATCAAGACCTCAATTCGACATAAAGACAATTTATATGAAAGAGAAAAAATTGTTAAAATATTTTGAATAAATATTCTGCCTATATATATATATAGTTAGTACGTTTACTCTTATACTAATTATGTACGCCATTTAATTTATCATGTAAGCCATAATTCAATTATACATAAATTATTTAAATGCTATAACGTTAAAAAGAGTACGAGATTTATTCGCCAAGTTGCGAAAAATATGTCAAAAAGGAAATTAAAATGTTCATTTATTTTTAAAAGAGATTTATATTGCATATATAATTAATTTTTAGTACAATGTCATGAAGTTTATATCATACTTAGTGAGTCTTTTCGATAATTGTTACTTAGAAAATTATTAATAATGATGGTCATGTCCAATTTCGTCAGTATCTCAGTGAAAGAAGGGTTAACATAAATTCAACCGCAATGCTAAGTTTGGTTTGTCTCTCTTCTGTTATTTTTGCACATTTTGGCTAATTAGACCAGGACTTGCAGTTTAATTGGGATTCTGAACCAATTTCTCACAAACATCCAAACAAACCGCCCGCATTCGAACCGTAAGCTTGTGGTACCAACAGGCAGAGTGCTATCCAATTGGCCATCAGACCGCCAGTAATATTTAAAGAAATCCATTTCGATATCATTGCATTTCTGAACGAGCAAACACAATGATAGCATATGATGATGTTGCACAGCGTGCCCTGCCTCATCGAGCACAACAAGAGTTTCTATCTAATGTTTACCATGATGATCCACGAGACTTTTCTTGATAGGCATTATTTGCCTACTTTGAACAGAGTTTTTCTAGACAAACCTCCTTGAAACCCAATGTACG